GTTTTCATTTAATTATTTCTTGAGTAGCAAAGACTAAATATATATAAATAACATGCGTGGACAAATATATAGTCAAAGGTCTGTCAAAAAAGCTATTTTTATACATAATTTTTTTATATATTTGCTTAAAACAAAATATAAATAAAGTTCAATTCGAATTTTCATGGTCAAATTAATATTCAAATAAAGTAAAAAATTTCTGAAAGAAGTTTAATTTATAATTTCTTATGACCAAACGAGTGGTGTAATTTATTTTTTATTTTGCGCGAAGCGCGGATAAGTTCCCTAGTTGTATATATAATGAAGATAAAGAGATGAAAGTTAATACTACTAAATATTATTCCCTTTGTCCTATATTAATTGATCATTATATTAAAAACATTTATCATATTAGTTTGCACCTTACTAAATTAAAATTAAAATTAAAATTTTCATATATTACCGTTGCAATTAATTCCTTTTGCAAGTGTTCACATTTGTTTGTATAATCCTATAAAGCTTTTTAAGAGGTGAATTAATAAAATTATCTTTTTATTTATAATTTCTTAAATACAATGTAAAATGAAGGCATAATATATAAACATGACCCTTAACTTGGCGTCAGCGGACAAGTATGTCTTCCTTTGAGTGTGCACAAGTAGACACACACATGTCCTACATGGCATAATACACGTAGAATGTTGCATTTGACACAAAATTTCCATGTAGGACGAATGTGTATTTGTTCAATTTTATACAAGTTTAAAAGCCTACTTATACACACCCAAAGTTAAAAGTCATAAATTGTTAGCTGACGCCAAGTTAAGGGTCATGTTTATATATTATGCCTTCATTTTACATTGTATTTAAGAAATTATAAATAAAAAGATAACTAACAATTTATGACTTTTAACTTTGGGTGTGTATAAGTAGGCTTTTAAACTTGTATAAAATTGAACAAATACACATTCGTCCTACATGGAAATTTTGTGTCAAATGCAACATTCTACGTGTATTATGCCATGTAGGACATGTGTGTGTCTACTTGTGCACACTCAAAGGAAGACATACTTGTCCGCTGAAGCAAAGTTAAGGGTCATGTTTATATATTATGCCTAAAATAAAAAGTGATTAACTAATTTGGGATCGAGGGAGTAATAAAAATTATTCCTCACGCTACATGTATAGGCACATTAAAGGAAGTGTCCTACTATAAGTAGGTCGTCGGTATAACAAGAGACCTATTGTTCAATAATGCCTAATGAGAGCTAACAGATGACGTAAATTAATTTATGCATTTTTACGGTCACATTCTCCTAGCAATTGGTATTGTGGTGTTTTGATCAATTTGGACACATTTTGACTAATTTCTCGAGATATCTATCACCTCCTACCAATAATAAGTATCAAATAATGCTGTCCTCCAAGACTAAGACAAAATAGAAGAAATCACATAGTAATATTTTTGTTTATGCTAGACTTTAAACCTTTCAAGTTTCAACCCACTATATCAATTATCACACAGCCACACCCTTAACGGTTTAACTACTCATAAATAAATAGACAAAAAAAAAGAGAAGAGTATACCATTTCTATATATAGTTTAGTTCATTTTGATGCCCATTTATGTTACGGACTCTTGCATATGAGACCATTTGTACACATAAAAACGATCTTAAAGATGAGAGTGTTCTTGAACTTTTGATCCCGTTTATACAAATATGAGTAGAGTATCTCCTCCATGGTATTGAAACAAGTAGATCTCTTTTGCTTCTACATTGAAATCATTCCTTGTGTCAATAATAAGATTCAAGAGTTTCTTTACAATTTAACTTGGTACGTACATTGTCATGGAGAACTATGTAACAGCTTTTTTTTTTTTGCATCGGAGACTAATTTTAGATCTTATACCGGTCCAAAAGGGGGGGTTATGTGCCCCCGGTTGAATTCAGCACGCTCTTAGATAAAACTTCTGCAATCTGAAAACAAGATAGATATCTTTTATGGACTGTTGTTAATCCTTTCAATCGATTGCATTGTGTAAGAGAAAATGAAATAGTATGAGTCTAACAACGCGAAAGAGGGAATCCAATTCCATGACGAGTTGTAGGAAAAACAACGAACAAAAACGTGCAGATCACCCCAACAGCCATTGGCAATATTGCGAGAATCTCCTGAGCATCTGGAGACGGAGAAGGGTACAAACATTTCATCACATTCTGATCAAACGCCGCGACAGCACAAAAAACAAGTATTGACAAAAAAGCATGAAAGAAATCAATGAATTTCATCTTATATATTGCTGCATCCTCAGGAGGGGATGAGCCATCAATAATCCATAAACCCCTGAATGTAGCCAATCCATAACGGACTTTGCCTCTTTCGTCACGAAAACTGTCTGTAAAACAGAGGAAAAAACAAGAAATCGCGCAAATTCCCAAAAGGATTAATGTCATAGAATGACTTATTGAAGAATGACATTGTCCTTCATGTGTTATAACTGGTGATAATATTTGGAATGCAAGAACAGAACCTGAAGGCAAAAGATTTGATAAAATGGCTGTTTTTTTGAATGTTTTTCTAATGACTTTTTGTGCTGGTGTTTTCTGTGGTTTATCAACAAGCTGTAAATCTTCTAACAAAGGTATTTCCAATTGATTTTCAGATGTAACAGCAGATTCTGTTCCTAATTTCTCTGTATTTATCGCGACGGAATCTGAATTCTTGGAGGCCTCCATATTTGTTGAATCTTGTAGTAAATAATTCTTTGTTGTTGAAGGTTTTAGTTATTTGGGTGAATTTTAGAAATATATATACAGCAACAGAGTTTCCAAAAACAGAGATTTTGATGCAAGGCTTTGGTTCATTTGTTATTAAAAAGGGTATATGGGTTTTTAGTAAAAGATTTTAAGGCTAGAATTAATTCACGCCTTTATTTTACGTAAATAAATATAGAATGTTGATTGCCAGGGTTTATTAAATTATGGTTTGATAACGTAACTTAATTGTTTTAAATGAGTCTAGGATACGTTAATTATATTACTGAAAACAAACTATCCAAAGTATACTTTAGGCATAATATATATTTATGCCCTTTTGAGCGTGATTACACGCGTTTTCGGGTATATTAGTATATGCCTATATGGCCTGCAAGGAACATTTTTAAGAGGAAAAGAAGACACAAAATGTGAGACCATATATTTATTTCAATTGCAAATTTAACATCATCCTAGAGGATTTCACCTGCAAATTTAAACAGTCGAGGAAGAAAATGAAATGACGAAATAACAAACAGTTTAGCTAATGGTAGCGTCCTACGTTCTCATTTTCGTCCAGTGCTATTCAAGTTCAAGTCCTGAAGATTGAGCAACAAATCATCGGCACTCAAGTAGGCTTTGTTGGCTGAATTGGAAATGGTATGTGCAATGTCTCTTGCTGCTTCGATTTTTCTGAGAGTGATGAATGCTGGATTGTTAGCGATAGCTTGACCAATCAGCTGCGCGCTCTTAGCCTCACCCTGCGAGAACAATACAAATAGGAACTCAAGCTCCATATAAAATGATGACAGGTTGAAGCAGTAATTGACTTTTCAAATTTCAAAAATCACAACTTTGAGTAAACCTATGGCTAAATGGGAGCTAAGATTAAAGATAGAAGGATAAGATCGGGAACTAATGTTGACCTGAGCTCTAATAACAGCGCTACGTTTATCTTGCTCAGCTTTTTCCACAATAAACTTTGCTCTCTCAGCTTCTTGAGCAGCCACCTGTTTTGCTTCAATTGCAGCTGTGAACTCCTTTCCAAAAGTCAGGCTTGTTATCGAGACATCATCTAAAGCGATGTTGAAGTTGGCTGCCCTCTCAGTTAAGATCTTCCGTATTTCTCTACTAACATTCTGCACGAGGTACACACAATTGAAAAAAAAATGACGAAGAACCTTATGAGTTTCTATGACAGCCAAATACAGAACATTCCTCACAATTGATGCAACCACATGCAGTACTTAGTACCGATGAAGTATTACCAGTTACGGCCTTATAGCACAATAATTACTTCTACACTTCAACCGATAGCAACATCAACACATGAAGTAGGTACATGTCCTCTCACACATACCTCTCTCTGGGTGATAAGCTGGCTAGCATTGTACTGTGCAACCACAGATTTCAAAGTTTCATGAATAATTGAAGGCAGGACTCGTTCATTATAATTTTCACCAAGTGATCGGTAAATAGTGGGTAGTTGATCTGGTACTGGACGTGTGAGAACTCGAAGTCCAATCTTTACCTGAAAAATCATCAAGGAGAAAGATCAATGTCTACAACCATTCATTCTTTTAGCAAGCCTATCCGCAATCCCCCTTCTTTCGGTTTCTCTTTTCCTTTTATATTTCTTGGATCAAGGATCAATGCAGGTATTGAGAAAAAAATTACCATCTGAAGGTCACGACTTCCGGAAGTACTCTCCACTAGATGTGGACGTGCACGAACGTCATATATCACAGGCCTATCGATCCAAGGAATCATGAAATGAGTCCCTTCTGGATAAACCTATTCATCAAGCAGAGCATCGTGCATCAAAAACACACAAGGCAAGTCTGAAGTATATGAAATCCAGGTCTAAAGGTTCATATACGAGGCTGTACACCATAAACCACCATATTGAAAATACGATAAAATAAGTAGATGACAATATCTTCAAACCATAATATACTTGAATGTGCATGGACATCAAGGTACAGAAGAAATATGAACAACACATACTGATTTATACATTTTACTCAAAGGATAGAAGCAAACACACCCTGCTTGCTAAACGATAGAAGCAAACATTTTACTTGACGAATGCTAGAGTCAAGTCAATCTGATTTCCAAATATCATCCTAGTCCAATAGAGAGAGTACAAGGCATACCTTATCTTTAACACCAAGAATACGGTTAAAAACAATGGCACGATTCCCGCCATCAACATTGTAGAGACTGTTAGCAATTCCATACACACCAAGACCGAAAACAATCCCAAACTTGATCAAGGGAGAAGTGGCACCACCACCAGCACCAGGCATCTTAGGAACCTTAACATTCTTGAGATCCATTTAACTAGTCCCTGAGAGTAAACACAATAAAACTCATCATTATAACAAGTACTTCCTCGGTTTCAAAAAGAAAACATCTTTTCAGCTCCAACTTTTCACATGACATGTTTAATGCCATAAGATCTGCATATCTTTAATTAAAGACCACAAGATCCAAAAATCTTCGTTAATCTGTGTTTAGTCAGAACAAAGACAAACAAATTGAAACGGAACATCCTGACGAGCTTTTACAAGTAACCATTAGCTCTTATGAGCTATGACTAGTCAACACACAATTCAATTTCGTCATCTCTAATGTAAAGAACTTGACAAAATTTATATTATGTTCACTAAGATTGTGAATATCAAGGAAATCTTCATGACCAACCGAAAAACAACAATACATGATTGTCTTCGTTCGTGTTAGAAAGGCTTTGATGATTCAAGATTCATATTTATTAACCCATTCAATTCGACATACTACATTGTACACCAATGCAATGTTACATTGTTACAATTTTATTAAGTAATTCAATAGGAAATTGTCAAAATTATGCAGAACACACAATTATAAATTTTTTATTTTAAAAAAAAATACATACATAACAAAAATACAAAAAAAATATAATGTGTAGATAAAAAAGAATGGAACTTTTAAGAGGAAGATCTTTTTACCTGATCGAAATGCAGGGAAGGAATTTTCTAGAAAGTTAGAACTGAAATGGGGTTTAATGGAAACATGTAAAAGGGGTTTTATTAATAGTTTAGGGCTTAATGATTTATTTAAAATGGTCAAATTTGTCCTTGAGAATTTTATTACTACATATTTGTCCTAATATATTGTGCTACAGTGAGAAAAAAAGTTTTAATTTTGTTTTTAATATATAATCCAGCTTAAAGAAAATCATAACTAAAATAAATTAAATATTTTTATTGAAGAATTTGAACTTGTAAAATTCAACATGAAAGTAAATGAAAGATGATTTACTTAAGATAAGAGTATGCACCGAACAATTTTTTTTTTTGGGGAAACTTAAGTAAATTTGAACAGCTCATAAGTAGAAATTACAAGATGGGGAATCGAATCCTAAAATTTTCAGTTTGGCCATAGTACCACACCTGAACTTAATGCTATATATGATCAAATTTGGATCCGGTCCTATCCGACTCAATCCAAAACTTAGAACAATCGACTTGTTTGGACGGTAAAATGGGGAGAACGGGAGTCATGCCTGTTTAATATTCGGTCGTGTGTAAAAAAACTTTTTAAAAAATAGAAAAGCAAATACATGTACATAATATTATTTATTTTTGCATATTTCAACTTAAGATTTGTACATAATATACTACATATTAAAAATACAATTCATGTACTTGTGTGTAGCGCGTGAGCCTAGGTCTCCGAATGATCATAGTGAAACCGTTCATCTAATATAAAATTAATAAGTAGATCTCACCTCCCTTCTAGTTACAATGGATTCAGATTAATAGTTTGATTTTTTGTAGGTAATTTATATAGTGATTCTTTATACTAAACTTAGGCCAAACTTATTTCACCCTATCTAAAACTTGTGTTGATTAATTCATTAATTTTTTTTTGTCAATTTTCAAAAAATATTATTATTGTCATTTGATATAAAATATGGAACTATACTTTAAAAAAGACTTCATGTGTAGATAGAAATTGATTGGGAAAAGGAAACCTAGGATATGAAGAAGAAAATATTAATTAACCCTAGTTCATTAAATTAAACTCTCAATTTTTTTTTAGATTATGTCATTTTCTTCAAGAAATTATTTTGTTCTCGAAGAAATTAGTAACAATATTATGTCTTATGATCAACAAGGTCCTCCTACAATATTACCAGATGATGAAACAATCAATAATAATGTAGATACGTATCGAGTGCCCATGCGAATTATTCACACAACTGCTATAGTACCTGCCCAACCGATTGTTAATGAAGTTGATGATGATGAAGAAAATTATAGTGAATTTTCGGACAATGATGATGATGATGAGGACGATGAGGAGGATGTTGACGTGGACGTGTCTGAATATTCTAAAACAAGAACTTATCATGTTCCAACTATGGATATAAGTGGTGATGATGATGTTATTGTTGAGGAACAAGAAGCATGTGCTATTTGCTTAATTGAATATAAACTACGGATATAAATGGTGATGATGTTGTTATTGTTGAAGAACAAGAAGCATGTGCTATTTGCTTAATTGAATATAATGATGAAGATACTATTGGTACACTTCAATGTGGCCATGAATTTCATGTTGAATGTATCAAGAAGTGGTTGATGAGGAAGAAAACATGTCCCTATTGTAGAGCTCAACTTTTGCCCACACATGAAAAAACTTCATCCCCTTAATTTGGAGTGATTTTATTCTATTTTTGCTTGTGATTCGAAGAGTAGGTTAGTTTTTATTTTGCCGTATTTTAAATTTCCGTAGTGAAAATGCTAATTTTAATATGAAACTTGCAAAAATTGTGGAAGTTTTTTTTTTTTTTTTTTTCATCAAGAAGTGGTTGATGAGGAAGAAAACATGTCCCTTTTGTAGAGCTCAACTTTTGCCCACACATGAAAAACTTCATCTCCTTAATTTGGAATGATTTTATTTTATTTTGCTTGTGATTCGAAGAATAGATCTGGTTTATTTTGCTATATTTTGAATTTTGTTAGTGAGAATTTTAATTTTAATATGAAACTTGCAAAATTGTGTAAGGTTTTTTTTTTTTTTTTTTAATGTTCATCTAGAGCTGTCAATATGGGCTAGCCCATTTTTGGTGTGGGCCAGAAAACGGTCGGCCCAACCCACGAGTACGTGGGCTGCAGGCTTGCCGGGCTAGCCCACTTTTTAAAAAGTTATATATATTTTTATAATTAATGTCATGATGAAATGATATTATATGGATTATGGTACACTCTTTATTAGCCAAGAAATAACTTATGATATTTGGTAATGTTTTATATTAGTGTTACATATAGTTGAAACAATATTTTTAATTTTCGCATACAGTATGAATAGTTGAAGGATAAAAAGTTGTAGTCACTCCACAGAAGGTCTCGAATTTAAATCCTAGAAATGTGAAGCTTCTCTTTATATATACAATATATGAAGATTGACTTCAAGTCAACTCGTAGCTGGCCTTGACTTCCATTGCCTGGGCAAAATTATCTTTTTTCATAGAAAAAGAAGATAAGGAGCCTCCCCCTCAAGAACACCAGAGAAATCAAAGTGGTTAGTATTCAAATTCTGTCTATCTTTTTTCATTGTAAGTTAGTGAATATTTTGATGTCTATTTGTATACATGAATATCTGTCAAAATTTCTGTGATGAAATGTAATTCTATATCAATTGATAGTGTGAGGAATGTTTATTATACCTACTCCATATTTTTTCTTTGTTACCAACTATACTCGGAATAGACAAAGGCGGAGTCAGAATTTTTTGTTTATCATCAGTTCGACAATTATATATGGTGCAGTTGCCTTAGACCTTAGTAGTGCCTTCACTTTACCAGAGTGTTATTCTTTTATTGTTGCCATTGCTCTGCTTGAACCTTGAGGACAAGGTTCTTATTGAGGAGGGGAGTATTGTTGTGAACACAAATAGCCCAGAGGCTAGACAAGTTGTTAGGCCTGGGGCTAAACCACGAAGAGGCCTAAGAATAAGACATCCCAATAATAGATTTGCTCGGGATCCAGGTTGAGTAGAGATAAAAGGGTTGTCACTGCGATTTGGAGAATTCATGCATATTGAAGAGACAATGTCTATCCTCTCTTCTTCTTCTAGAGTCAAAGCTTCTCATCCTCATACTCATCTCTATCGTAGTTGTTATTTCAGTACTTTTCGGTTGTAATTCAATAGTTTAAGTGTTGCTGTGATAATTTGATTATCAAGCATTACATAATATTTGAATATTTGCTGTTGAGAATTCGGGTTCGTTACACAGTCTGAATCTATTGATTATCACTTCCAGGAGTTGGTAATAAATGTTTGCTCTGGATCCTTTGATCACCACATCTCCTATAGTATACAGGGCCTAGATTTGTTGCTTTATAAGAAGATAGAAAGTGAGAATGAATTGACTAGCTAACTGATCCTAACAGAATGAACAGAATTGTAACTAACTGATGTATCCATTCCTGACTAGTTTAACCAACTGTGTAATTTCCCAATCTCGTGTATCAGCCTTCCCAGAAGGGGTGGAGGCGTGTTAGAGTCCGACAATATCTGGGATATGAGTTGTAGTCTCTTGGTCTTGAACATTCTTCACCTCATAATTTAGCTCTTAGGCTTGAATTGGATTCAATATCATTTACTTAGATATCAGCTTTGATGAGCCTCTCATTGTTGCTTTTGTTTTTCTTTATCTTTTCCTTCTGTTGCTTTGCAGACATACTTGTCATGAAAATCGTTGGTGCAGTAGTTAGCATGATGCAGTGTTTTTGTGGAGAGACCTGCTCTCGTCATACCTGAGAAGGCCTGGTGTATTAGCAAAAGATGGGGTTCCTTAAAGCTCGAGAGGAAGATAGAAAAAGGAAAATGTATGGCGTGGTATGCAGAGGTCCAATGATTTGTGATTCCTTGACGACTATAGAAGTCGTAGATTGTCCAGATCTGGAAATACTTCCCTTCTTTTTGGAAATAAGGCAGCAACTAGCTGACTCTCTCAAACAGATAAAAGGAAGCAGAGGATGGTGGCGGACGTTAAAGAGGAAGCATCCTACCGCGACGTCCCTTCTTGCTCCACTCCTTAGACCCGAAAGGGAGTATTCTTCTGCTGCAGTGTGTTGATTACAATTTTATGTTACAGACTTATTTCCCACTACAGTGTGATGTTTTCGAGTTTGAGTTCATTTCCTTTCCAGGACTCTCAACCACATCATCGATCATTAGGCCACACTATTAGATGCCCAAAAATAGTGCATTTTTGGAATCCAACAATAAGGGTGTGACAACAATTTTAAAAAGTCCGAGCAACATAGAGTTCTACAACATATTGAATTGTACTGTCATGATGTTTAACAGTTCATGATGGAATATTTTCCTCACATTCAATACTTTTTCCCCATTTGGCAAGGAATGTATTGCTGAGAATTTAATTGAATCTTGTCCTATCCCACACTATTAGATGCCCAAAAATAGTGCATTTTTGGAATCCAACAATAAGAGTGTGACAACAATTTTAAAAAGTCCGAGCAACAGAGTTCTACAGAATATTGAACTGTACTGTCATGATGTTTAACAGTTCATGATGGAATATTTTCCTCACATTCAATACTTTTTCCCCATTTGGCAAGGAATGTATTTTATGGGAATTTAATTGGATCTTGTCCTATCCGACTCAACCCCGAAACTTAGAACTAGGAGGGTAGAATGGGGAGAAGGGGAGAAGGGGAGTCGTGCCCGTTCTCTATTCGGACACATGTAAAAACATAAAAAGTTAAAATAAAATGGAAAAGCGAATACATGTATAATATAACGACATATTCAAAAATATGTGATCCTATTTGATAGGATGCCCATAAAGAAAAGATATCGACCACATAACTATTTATATTTGTGTGTAGCTTAGGTCTCCCTATAAATTATACAGTGATTCATTATTTAAGAAAAGACTTCAGGTGTGTTTGGTCTAAAGGAAAACATTTTCCGGAAAATGTTTTCCAATTTTCCTTTTTTTAGCCCAGCCCTATTAAATCCCGGATTAGGCCAGATCTTTCAAGAAAGACAGAGTTGCTTGAATTGGTGCACTCTGATTTATGCGGTCCAATGAAGACAAAGACATTGGGTGGTGCACTCTA